TTCTCCTTCCATAAATATGTTCTATTCTTACCTATTTACTACTTGAAAAGAGTACACACAAGTAGTAAACATCTATAAGAGTGTTAATTTGTTATAAATAAAAGACTACCAGAGTCTGCAATGAGTTATTTTCCGATTTTATCCAAGAAATCTTGAAAAACGTAAACCGGAAGTAGTTTAGCTATCAACTTCCGGTTTGACGAATAGTACGGAAATTGTCTTTTCTATAGCTAATATTAAAAATATTTGTCATTTCTCTCTGAAAACTAATCAGATAAGGTCAAACTAAGGTCTTCATAAGAAAAATGCATGTTTAGCGACGTTTAAAGTTATTTTTAAAAAAACTTTTGCCACTCAATGAATCTAAAATCGTGATTAATGACCCAAAAAATGCTAATAATTCCACATTTCCTGAAAATTTCCTCGTTTTTTCATGTGTGCATTAGCTTAGCATATAATAAACACATCAAAGCAGGTTTTACCGAAAATTTGTGTGTGAAACGTGCAAGAAAATGAAGAATAACGAAAATATTGTGAAATAGAAAGTATGTACTTTAGGCCAGGTCGCCAAGCTGTTTGGACACTTTTTTCAAGTGGCGACAAGCAGATTCGTAATCTACAGGCTTCAAGCTTTAAAATGATACCAAGAAACCTTGGCCACCCATGGGGTGCAGCCAACTTGAAAAATAAGCCTCTTTTCAGACTTAGCTTCTAGACTATCTTCAGGAACTTACCCAAGAGACCTTTGTGGGTATCTGCTATAGGGTTCCCGTCTATAGTCCAATCAATTATCATGTACCAGATGTCAATCAATGTCACTATGTTGTCAAGTGATTATGAGAGGGCGGAGCTAGCAAATCACGTGGCACAGGTTTATGTTTACACATTCTCTATTTCGTTGACCGCTGTAATTCAAGACAGCCAAACTAGAAATATTAATTTATCAATTTCGTAAACAAGGATAAGCTGAGAAGATAGCGAGATGATTTCAAAGCGATTATTTCTAAGAATTTTCAATGAGCTTCATGGTAAAAAGCTTGTTTTGGTTTATATATTCATGATTCATCTACTCGAACAGTATTTTCTGCACGAACAATCGAAGATCGATGAGGAGAACAGGGTTTCAAGAGTCAGAATTACGACATAAGAGATCGTAAATATTCATTCAGCATGACTCGTTATTCTCCTGAACTTGACAATATAGTCTTATATTACCTATATTTATGCATTTATATTAATTGTTTTGGCTTCAAAGTCTACTCACAAAGGAACATGAGGTACATAGCAATATTTCTACGCACATTCATCTTTGCCGTTCGAAGCGTTATGATCTCCTTTAATTTTTCTTCAAAAAAATGGCAATTCATTAAAAAATATCGATAAATTATAAAATGTAAAGCAATTATGAGAGAGGTTTTGAGCAAATATTAGCCTGTATTTACGTTTTAAATGAAGCATTTTGATTTTAAAGTGAGCCGTGCAAATGTGCATGCTTCTAATTTGAGACGTCGTTGCACAAGCTAATTACATATGCCAAAATCTGGATCCCGGAACTGGAATTGGAGTTCCAGATTGAGTTTGATGAGTATGGCAATAATAGATGCTCTGCCTGCAAACGGCTTTTAACACTGTCGTTCGAAATTTTGCAACTTATTTTTACTTCTCATTTAGATTCTTAGAGACTCTGATACTAGTAAACACGAAATAATTTTTCTGTATTTTTGGAAGCTCAACCAACTAAATCCTCCGTGCATGTTGAAACCAGGTCCCCCAGGTCCTTCAGGTCCTCCAGGTATCCCAGCTTACCCTGGAACCAGGGTCTAGTATTTACATAAACTATCTTTCACTCACTAAAAAGTATATTCAAAAACGTTCACTCAAAGAGTATACTGGCAAAGAAAATTATTATTTTGATTTATTAAAACTGTCTCTTGCACTTGTGAAGTTAAGCTAAATGTAGGTTTGTATTTTACGAAAGTTTTTGCCTGGTTCTTGCTTTGCATGCATGACTGCCATGAAACACTCATGAAAAGCCGGTTTTTTTTCCGACTCCAAAAAAATTTTACATACCATTTGCTTAAGGAAATCTTTTCTTCTACACAGGAAATAATTATTTATTATTGTTCTTCGAATTGAATAAGTTTTTTGGTACTTTTCTGGTACGTCACGCTTGCCACGCTTTTAGCACCCCATTTATCCTCAAAACAATATTTAAAAAAGTCATAACTCTTTAAAACCCGTGGTAACCCCCCATTTTTTTTTCTTCAAAAATGTAACAGAAATAGTTAAATTATTTTTTATAATAGAATTTTTAAAATAAAAATGGTTTTCGATGCAAATGTAAGCAAAAATGTAGCATCCCTTTAGCACCACATTTTACACTTTTGAAGGCAAAATTTGGTTTAAAAAATGGTTTCTTATATGATACGTAAAAGTTTATATATTTGATATGAAGAGCACAAATGGTCGTTTATTTGAAAAAAGTTTCAGATAAAATCGATCAAAACAACTTCGTAATATGATTTTTTCCCCTTGCGTAAAAAAGTGCTTACGTCATCGGTGTTTAACGTCAATTATCTCGTTTASATGCGTGGGTACCCCCAATTTTTTTTCGGATTCCAGTGGCCTCTTGGGTGATTTAAATGACTGGCACAATGTGAAAAAAATAAAAATGGTTTGCAATTAGTAGGCACCATCCTTAATTATTGAAATAATAGCCTTAGTCTACGAGTCAATAGCCCACTTGGCCGTCAGTCTCATGAGCTATTGAATCTTAGGCCATTTGTGCTGCAAACATGGATTGAAAACACTGGTTAATAATGATGACAAAAATCTACTGTACTCAACAGCTGGATCTAATTTGAATGGCCAAAATAGAAGTAAGACTTGGTTTATTTCTTCAATATATCTTCTATCCCTATCAATGATTGTCAGAACTCTAAAAAGTACGGGAATTTTACTTACCCTATTGTTTGTAAACATCTTAGCTCATTTTCTATTCTTTCTGGACCACTTGTTGGAATAATATGCTTTAGGGCACATAATTCATCAGGAAATTTTTTGACCCTAGCCAAATATACATTGCTAAATGTCCCTGTAGTAAAGAAAAATTAAAAAACATTATCTAAAAGAGATTTGAAACAAAATATGTTAAGGTAATTCCCTTGTTTTTCCAAGGAACTAACAAATTTTGGCATTCTTCTTTCGGAAACTAAATAAGAAACATGTTGAAAAACAATTTTCACTTTTTTCTCTTTTTTGAGCAGAGAAATTGCGATTTTTATCTGACTCGCCCCAGCATTCACTTGGAAAAGTGTCAGTTTTCAACTATTTTGAGATGTTTTTTCAAGATAAATCAAAAATGAGAATGTTGACCTCCAYTTYTTATTTTAGATTTTTGATAAATGCCATGCTCGTCATTATACACCTAATTGAAAAAATGTTGTCGGGTTCGAGAAGACCATATCATCGAAGCTAATATCAAAAGGATTTTGGGTACTCCGAAATGTGTATTATATTTGCATAAAGACATGTAAAAATGCACAGTAGAGCAAAGTCGGTCGACCTAGATTAACATGCCCAAGCCATTCTCCAAAGATTTACGCTGGAGAGCTGTTTGGCTGTGGTATTTTGTCTTCCCATGCTCCCCTTCGGTCTTAGCTTTGATGATATAACCTTTTTTGAACCCGACGTTTTTTCAATTAGGTGTATATCAAAATATGAAGAAAAGTTTATTGCATAGATTTTGAAATATTTTGATGGGAATAGTGGACATGTGCTATCTCAAGTTTGGACGTTCGTAGAGGTGCACATACCGTATTTTTTTCACTAATAGTTCAAAAATCATAGTCATCCAATGACTTTGATGGATTTAATAGCATAGATTATCTAGTAAACTTCGATTTACAAGTATGTTTTGTTATGTATGAAAGTACTTTTAACTGTGAATAAAAGTTCTTGATTACAGCCTCCAGTTGCTACCGCATTTCACTATAAAACCCATAAATTGACATGTTTGGAGAGCATCTATTGAAAAACGAGAATGGTTACCCCATCTTTTTATTACAGTCTTTAAATGTCCATAACATAATTAATTTCCATGCAAAGTTTCAGGACAAAGTTATTGGCAAAATTTCTTTCAAGGGAATACCTTAATGCTGCATGCGCAATGTGCTCTTTAGTTGAATCGCTTTTGAAGTAGTTTCTTACTAACACCTAACTCCTCTCAAGGAAGTATTCTTAATTTTTTAGCACATTAAGAATGATAAAAGCTAGGTAAGAGCTTGTAAACAAACAGTTTTGCATCATATTAAATAGTTCAAGTAAAATCATCAAGTAAATATTAGCTTAAACAGCCTTAAACTTGATAGCTAGCTAAGGAGAATGTTCAGTGGTGAGACTTGATCTTTGTTTAAATTATTGTTCGTATGGTGTCATGTTTTCCCAACATTTTTTCTAAAATGCGTTATACAAGTTTTTATAAATCCACGCCATATCCATAGGATAAGTAAAATATTTTGGGAGCTACACCCTCGCTCATCACTGCCTAACATATCCAAAAAATACATGTTGTCTGAATGTTGGGTTAAATGTTGGGCTCAATTGTTACGACCCCAATATTCAAGTGTCACATTGGGGACTTGGCAAACAACCCAACATTTGACCCAACAATGTTATTTTTAATGTTGGATGAATGTTTTACTTATCTGTCAAGCCAGTTTTTCCTAATATAACCAAGTGCCAACATTCTGCCAACAAATATTGGGCCTTTTGTCAGGGCCTTTGGAGTTGTGGCATACTGTGTGCAAGTTCAGGAAATGTGTTTGTTTTTCTACCAATCTTAGTTATGCTATATCTTGATAACATTTTATTGCATTATTGGATCTTATTGCATTTTTTTGTACAGGCGGAGGCGGGGGGGGGGCTTCATCCAAACCATCAAACCAACCCTAGCAACGGGCCTGAAAACATATGCGTATGTAAATATGTATTTCATACTTACCCTCTCCTACTTTCCTGACAACTGTAAAGATTTCTTCTAGCTCTGGGAACTGCTTTAGGATGTCTCCAGCTTCACTGTCACCAAAGCCTTTACAAACAAAGAAACTGTATTATAATAGTCATCCATGTTTCATTTATGAAAATCATAGGTAAAAAGTATTTAAGGTAAACATTCTTCGCCTAAACTAAAAAAGCAAAACTAGTACTATATGATAGATTAAGCTTATTATCGTTACACGTGTAATATTCAAGACAAAACTTCGTTCACGCCAGATTGACTTTAATATCTCAAGGCCTACATCGTAAGCTTAATTAATAGCCACAAGAATAAGTATTGTATACACTTGTATATCCATTCGTTTTGCAGTAAAAACGTTACCTTCAATGGCACTGGGACTAGATGGAGGTGAGCTTTGTTTCCTTTTTCGTTTTCCAGATGGTGAAGAGCAGTTTCGTTGCGGTAAAGAAATGCACTGTTGCTCATCGTCACCTAAAACTGTTGATATGCTGTTCTCCAAGCCAATACTTGCTTCGCTCCTACAATCTTCAAACTCCATCGCATTACAGAAATCAAACTTCTAAATCATACGAAACATCAGCAATGTACATTTTTTTCACTTTAAACGTCTAATTTTCATCTTCTTAAGCGTAAAAAAACAGCATTTAGTCAAATATTTGAAGGTTGATCGAATGTTCAGTAAACTTTCCCGCCATTTTCACACGAATGGGAACCTGGGAATGGGTCTTTCAAATACTCTCGTACCAGACTCCTCTCCGATTTGCTAGCCATAATGCGCATACTCGCCAGGTATTCAGCTGGAAAAAATAACCGTAGTTTCAATATAAATCAAACCAGTCAAAATATTTGACATTTGTGAACTGGAGAGACAGCTATGAAGACTATTGTGGCAATCGTATTTTGCGTTATTTTGACTCTCGTTGTGTGTGTATCTGGACACGGTCACGAGCATGGACATAGCCATGAACAACACCACCATCATCATCATGAGCATCCAAACGGTCATCAGGAACATCACCACCACGGACATGAACATGAACAACATGATCATGGACCTGAACATCGTCATGAACACCATCATGAACACCATCACGATGGCATGGAAGAAAGCTCTGTTTTCAATAGATACAGTCGCGAAATGAACGAACCAGAAGTACCCACTGCAAGTGCAAAGACAAAAATGCCGCTTACCCCTAAACCCATTCGAAGCACCGTGACGATTTGGATAGAGGCTCTATCTTCTACTATTCTCATAAGTGCTGCCCCATTTTTCATCTTATTTTTTATTCCGTTGACTGGAAACACTGCTGAACAAAAGCCGCTTTTGAAAATTCTTCTAGCCTTTGCATCTGGTGGACTTCTTGGTGACGCGTTCTTGCACTTGATTCCACATGCTATCAATCCTCACAGCCATCTGGAAGAGCACAGCCATTCTCATGATCATGACCATGGTCATGGTCATGGTCATGGCCACAGTCATTCTAGCGACATGACTGTAGGATTCTGGGTTCTTGGTGGTATTATAGCATTTCTTATTGTGGAGAAATTTGTGAGATATGTTAAAGGAGGGCACGGACACTCCCATGGCCATGAGCCTTCCTCTAGTAAAACTACCGACAGTGAAGAAGTGAAGAAAAAGGACGATGAAAATGTCCGTAAGAGAAAGAAAACTGAAGAAGATAAATCTGAAGAAGAAGATACGACAAAAGAAAATGACCAAACTGAAATTATTGGTAAGCTGAGCTTATTTTTGTAAATAATTTTTTCTCAATTTTTTTATTAGCTTATAAAGATCCACAGGTAAGCTTACTTTTGTAGTTCAAAAGCACAATACTTAAATTTTTAATGTCCAGTCAAAGGCTTTAGCCTATAAAGATAAAAGCAGTCAAAGAAAAACTTGATTATTTTCAGGAGCCTTTTAATTATATTCAACAGTGCCAACACGTCAAAGGTCCTCGAAAACTTTTATTTTTATGTACATTGCTTTTTATTTGCTTTACGATTTGACGATACGGATTTGAACRAGGACGTTCTTCCAAGCCGAAAAAAAATTTTTTTTCTTAAATTTTAATAGAAAACTATTCGTCGTATTCCCCTACTTTTTAATCAAATTTAATGTTCATAATCTTTACTTCTGATGATGAGTCAAGATTGCAAAGTAAATATATCGCTTTCGATGTTGTTCAGACCTGTAAAAATTATGCAAGATCAGAGAAAAGTGACGTGTCGGCGTAGGAATATATGGTCTCTAGCTGAATAAATACAGGCAGCCGATCTCCACGAAAATATGTATAAACCACATGTACACATTTGTTCTTGTATAGTAAAGAGAAATGTTATACATAGGTACTTTTGAGCTATCTTTAGTAACTTTTTGTTGACAGAATTTAAGGATTTTGTAAAATTTCCGATGTTACTTTTCCCAGCCTCCTCAATCTTGCCACGTATTCTATCTCTCTGACAACACGTGGTGACTCATGAAAAGCCGACAGGATTGAATGACTTACAAAATTAGGCTTAGAGAAATCAACCCARTGGTTCCTATTTTCTTCAAAAAGGAATCTCCTTTTTGTACATTTTAGGACATCTTATGCTTTTATAAACTATGGTTACGAAATGATCCGATTTTTTTATGATTACTTAGTTAAGCTTAACCACAGGTAACCCAAAATCAACGTTGGTATAACAAAAAAATGTATGAGAACTTTGCAGCTGTCGATTTTCAGAGTAAATTTATAATTCACTTCAATAAGCATGAAGCGAGATGACGTTTTACCCCCGTCTCTAGACCATAATCCTTTTCACACTGCTTTTGTTCTTTAATTATGTATGAGTCAATTCCAAAGGTTCCCATCCCCCCCCCCCGGCAACCCCCCGGGCATTTGACTTTTTAAAAAAAATTGGTCAAATTCCCCACCATGCGGGCCAAAAAAATGATCAAATGCTCCACCGTTCAGGCTCCACAAAGTGGTCAAATGCCCGCCCCTCCAGTCCAATGAATCTCTAATTTTGCCTAAAAAGTACAAAACTGAGCCTGTATACATCCAACAAGTTTCATGCTAAGTACCTTTTGAGATCGTTTTATCATTTATAGCTTTATATAAAGAATTAAATAAGGATTAAATAAGAATCTAGACTTGAAATCTTTGCTGACTTTTGAATTAGCGTAAACATATTTATTGTTTTGGACTACAAAAACTTATCTTCATCTACTCGTTCTGTTTTGTCATCCACCTTGAAAAGTTTCTTTTTAATTCCAAGCTTTTCTTTCCCTGTTTCTCAAAGAAGCGACAAGGATAAGATTGTATTTTCAAACCAAATTTTTGTGGCGATTCGATTTCAGTGAGATCGTAATCAATTTGAAGTTCAACCTTTCTTTTGAAAAGAGTGCACAAAGGAATCCGCCAAAAAAGCTTTTCTATCTTCTCTTGTGCCATCCCAGATTTTGAACAAAGGTATTTGGATTTTTTTTTAGATTCACAGGCGAACCAGAGTCCTCTAAGCACGATCCAAGCGTAAAATTTTGCAATATGCTAATTTATGCAATTATGATAAAAAGTGCCACTATATTTAGTCAAAAGTCAAATGCCCGCCCATTCGGACATATATTCAGCGTCAAATTCCCTGTATTCCCTGTATTCCCCTGTTCCTGTATTCTCTAAGGAATCAAAAATTTTAATATGAAAGAAATTTTAAAAACTATTATGGTGTAGAGTCGGGGGTAAAACGTCATCTTGCTTCAGGCTTATTGCAACTTATTATGTGTCTTGTAGTAATCCCTGGCAATGTCTGGTGTGCGTTTTATGACTTTTTCGATTTTTTTCTAGCCCCATACAGATATATTCTTTTGTTTATCAAAGTATATGATCATCCGGGTGGATGTAATCCTGAAACGGACTGTTTAATGGGACCGACGTTTCGACAACCTGAGCGGAAGTCATCTTTAGAGTCAAATTACATCCATCCAGATGATAATAATACTTCATTAAACATTCATTCTTTCTTATAGACTAACAGTTTAATGGGAAAATTTGAAATACCTTGTGAAAAACAGTGCATAGGGAATTGCAGTGCAAAACTATGGAATCACCTTAAATTAACTCAACCCACCAAGATAAACTGTCTTTAAACAGCTGGAAATGGATTGATAAACATACGTTGAGTAAAAAAAAAAAGCTTTTAAATCTTATACAAAGTTTTTACAAGTGCTTGACTCTTAGTATGTATATGTTTATAAATTTATATTTTAGAAGACATTTATATTTTTACTTATATTTTATTTTAGAACCAAAGGAGATTAAGGTAGCAGGTTACCTTAATCTAGCAGCTGACTTTACACACAATTTTACTGATGGTCTTGCAATAGGAGCGTCATTTTTGGTTAGCCGCAATCTTGGAATTGTTACTACACTAACTATTCTATTACATGAAGTACCTCATGAGATTGGAGACTTTGCAATTCTTGTTCAGTCTGGTTGTGACAAGAAAAAGGTAAGTTATATCAATAAATTGTATGTAACAATTGATTCAACAGGTTTAAAACTTAGACAAGGCAAACAAGTGCTAGACCTGATGCAGCATGACTTTCAAGTTGAATGGTTTAAAAAAACTGACAAATAATTAATAAATCTTTGGTCAAATTTGATTGCATGACCATAAACATCACAAACATAGACCTTCATAATTTGATAAATTTTTCATCACTGAAATGCACAGCCATCCCAAAGAGCCAACAGTATGCTAATTTCAAGGCAGTGGTGCCAATAGATAACTGTAAGATTTCAGAGGTTATCTGTGATCATTTTATTACACTGTCCTTTGACAGGACAGTAAGTCTTCAAATAAACTTACATGAACCTTTGTCTGGGCACGAATGACAACTAAAATGTTAGTATTTATTCATGAGTTTTAAAGCCCCCACTCCCCCTCCCCACCCCCAAAAAATCATTAGGCTTGCTGACTATCATTTTTAAATTATGAGGTCTAAAACATGATAGTTTAATTGTTAAAACACTCCTTATTAATTTTGTTAAGCACTATTTAAACATTAGTCTARACATAAACTGTTATAAAGTGTTAATGATTAAAATTTGGTTTTAGGCCATGTACCTACAGTTGTCTACAGCTACTGGCGCTATTGCTGGGACACTTTGTGGTCTCTTGGCACATAACATTGGTTCTTCAGCAACCTTGTGGATTCTTCCATTCACCGCTGGTGGATTTATTTACATAGCAACAGTATCTGTTATTCCTGAATTACTTGGTGATTCCAAGATTGGACAGTCAATAAAAGAGGTCATAGGACTCCTGTTTGGGGTATTTATGATGGTTGTTATAGCTCAAATTGAATGATATAGGGGTTAGTATGCGTGTACATGTATTCAAACAATCATGTAGTTACATTGTTAAAAGTTAAAAGGCATACCAGTATTTGACTTTAATTAAGGAGGCTCAGGGTAGTTTTGGTCTGGCACACCTAGCCGCATTGAAACGGCTACAACTTCGTCTTGAATAACTCGATCTGCAAGCGMTTTTCACACAATGTCAGGAAAGGATTAAAGGTTTCAAAGATGATAAATTAGTTTAAAGCGGCCTTTTCATTATGACGTAATGATGACATCATAGAAATCGTTTACCGCTTATTTTCTCGAAAACTAGACCTAAACTTTCAAAGCRACTTGCACCAGTCGATAGTATTCATCAAGGCACCTAACATATTGCAATATGAAAAAAATGTATGAGAGTGTTTTCCAAATATTACACGGTGAATATTTTCATGGACTTTTACTATTATTTCCAGCGTGTCAACTTTATACCCTCAAAATCGGGACTTTAATTTAGTGGATTCAATATTTATATTAGCTAGAATATAGGTACATATATAGACACTGTCGTTATTGAGTATGAATCAAATTGTGACTTTCTTTCTAACGTTATGGATTTTTTGAAAAATAAGTACGCTTGATACTAACAGCACACAACAAGGAATAACACGGAAGTCAAGCGTGAATAATCAACAAGCAGCCGTGAGCGAAAGTAGTTATGAGCGTACTTATTTTTATTTGACTGCCTTAAAACCCTTCAATGCATATGAAATTAAAGGAGAATATTTGTAAAAGATACATCTTTTAGTGACTTCATTTAGAAAAAAATCGTTCGACAATTTTTTGAATGCCGCTTTCAACGATATTTTCTATCGCTTTTCACAACAAATGGGGTCATTTAGCTTCATATCAAAAAATCCATAACGTTAGAATTTAATCCTTTCCTGACATTGTGTGAAAATCGCTTGCAGATCGAGTTATTCAAGACGAAGTTGTAGCCGTTTCAATGCGGCTAGGTGTGCCAGACTAAAACTACCCTGAGCCTCCTTAAGTTACCAAGATGTAATAGGGAATTTACCAATATACATGTATCAAGTTCAGAGAGGTTTTTATGAAGGTTTTTGATCATACAGTCCCTTCAATCTTAAATGTTTAGCAGTACCCTGAGAAGCCTGTCCATGGGCTGATTGAAAACAGGGCAAGGCTAACTCACAGATGAAATTGTAATTTAGCATGTTATATTTTTCATGTTATTAGGTTGTTTTATGAATTAAAACATCTGTGCCACTTTGTTTCTACTTTCAAAATGCCAACAATGAACGTCCAGAAGAACAGATGTTACTGGTTGCAATCAAATATCTAGAAATTAAGAAAAAAAAATACAAAAAGGTTTATTACCAGCGTTTGCATTGCTACGTGGCCACCCCTGACAAAAATCACGACGTGCACTTTGCAATAGACTGCCGTAAATCAAACACATTGATGCCATTAAAACTCATCGTCTAGATAAGTTTGGGGTTAGATACCATGGTGCGAGCTGTGCGCATCAATCAGACTACGCCCTACCACAGAGGTAACCATGGCGACCGGGCCACAGCTCACCACCTGGTACCTGTCACACTGACCACTCAGTGGAATAATACTCACCTTGCTCCCACCATAGAGGAGTGGGCGGGCGGGATAAAAATTTTTTGCTGCACGCTCACAGCCAAAACTACCAAGACTGCTGGCAAGCTGCCACTAAGTCCTTAGCAAAAACRCRCCCCACCTCCCACCCCCACCGCATATTATTGGGGTGGGTAGCCGCTGGCCGCTACGACTCGGTTTTAACTTGCCTGAATTTCATTCATGCTCATTTAACACAGTATTACATTATTGTGAAGCAAAAAAAAAAAAAAAACGAATGAAAAGATTTTCAGTAATTGCATGGTTTTATTTACACATAGTAACAAGATGTAAAAGTGAATAATATTAATCTACTTGAACATCTTATTGCAACATTGACATATACACCTTCAAATGTTATCAGCAATATTGATAAAACAAAAACAAGATTATGCTATGTGGTTTCATGTTTCATACTCTAGTTTGTAATTCTTCATTTAAGTTTTGTGCTGTTTAATAATAATAATAATAATAATAATAAGGAATAATTTATATAGCGTCGATATCCGTAAGTTCATATCTTTATACAATATATAAATGTGACTCAAAAAATAAAATTAAGAAAATAATTACTATTTCATGAATAAGAGTGAGTAATAAAACATGGCCCATAATACATAATTTTATCATTATCAACATATTTCAAATAAAATTCATTTCATTTCAATATATACATTACACATTTTTTAAATTTATTCATCAATTATATAATCAAACTGCCTTTGGTGAACTCCCGGATACTACCTGGTGCCTTTTTTGTGCATTTCATAAACTTACCTTTGTAATTACACAAATCACCAAGTAATTCACTTGATTTAAACGCTCAATTTGACTGCGTAAGATGGATAATCTATCTTTTATTTTGATTCCAATTTGTACTTTGTGTATTTCTTTGTTATTTTATCGAATTTTGAAGGGAATCCTGTACTAAATCGACATTTCAGAACCTCACACTCAGTAGTAGATTGCTCTAATTGCTTATCCCTTATTTTGCTCTTTGTGACTTTCCGACCTTTGTATTAGAACGAATTCTTCCAAAATACAGAGTCCGGCTTTAGTTCTTTAATATGCCTGGAGAGTGCTTTTTCAATGAATCTTTTGACCTATGATTCTTCAAATTGGTAAAAATAATGTATGATTGTATGTATTTTTCTGTTTGCTTAYTTCAAATAAAGATTTGACTCTTCAATAATAAAAATGATAATTATTCAGGGATGCACATATCTCCATACAGCTTTCAAACTCTAGTTTAGTTAAGCTATGTGCAAGTGTGTGCATGGTCAGTACTAGACATCATCCCACAACAGATTCAGACTCAATGATTCAGAGCACTGGATTTATTATAGACCATTAGTAGGTTTAGATTAATATCTGATAGTCCATTCAGTAAGTACATCTCACAGGATGAGTAAACTGTACTTCCCTTCAAAGGTACAAATATTGTGGCAGTACCCTACCCATTGTTTTTTCAGCCTTCTTTGGTGGCAGACCTTCAGGCAGAATATAGACCTTTAGCATGACATTATCATAGGTACCACAAAGCACAAACTTTTCCATCAAACTTTCTACATTTAGCAAGGCACCATAATGAAGTTAATTAACCTAATTAGGTTTAGATTAATATCTGATAATTGAGTGAGTAAGTATATTTCAGTAAGTAAACTGTGCTCCCCTTCAAAGGAACAAATATTGTGATCCTACCCATTTTTGCAGCCTTCTTTGGGCAGCATAGAGACCTTTAGCATGACATTGTTGTAGGTTCCACCAACCTCAAACTGCAGTTCAACACCAGGCATTTGCTGTCAAACTTTCTACATTTAGCAAGGCATCATAATGAAGTTGATTGTTGCTGGAAGAGTTGCCATATTGAATTTCGTTGATGCTGAGTGTTTTTCCTTGTTTGCAGGTGTGATTCTGGGTTTGATTCCTAGCAGTTAGCAGTAAACATGATGCCAAAAGTCATTTAAATAAATAATGAACCATCTGTTTTGGCTGTGTAAAAGCTTGATGAGCTAAGCTTCCTCGTATATATATTATATTCCTCCAAGAGTAACGCCCACGAGCCACTATATTATCACTAGAGGGGARCTCAACCTTGATTTTTCATGCAATAAATTTTATAGATGATTGAACCAGTAACTAGCAATTAACTGAGTTTTTTTTTGATAACAAGAAAGACAAAAAAATATTTAAAAAATTTTATTTCACTCGCATTGTATTATGTTCAGTCTATTTTACATTTGTTAACTATAGTATTATATCAATAGTTAGAGCACTTTCATGTTCGAGTGACCCAGTCACTCAATAATATGTAAGCACATTTTCATGTGCCTCAGTTTGCATCCATCAAACTCACAAACTAAATGTATGTATTTTCAAGCTAAAATTCATGCATGTAGCTGATGTCACACAAACTTGAGATTAAGTGCTTTAAAGGCCAAGAGGTAATTAATTATTGTCTAAATATGGGCTGTCAATACAAGACTTTCTGACTAAAAGATTTTGCGATAAAATTAGCTTAAAAAGTCAAATCATTTCATAAAAAAATATTTTCTTTGTAAACGCTCCATAGCAAAGTTTCAACTTCACCGGTATTTGGCAGCTATTACTTGTATGTATCAATCAGTCAGTCAGTCAGTCAAAAATTAAATTAACAAAAAGATACAGGTCATTAAAAAAGGAGAAAAGTCAAAGTGAATCTGCCTTCCTACTCTTAATTTCATTGCCCCTTGAGAAAGGTGCTAAGTATTTGATGCTATAATGCCTTATTCATATGACATTTAGGTCAGAACACAGTATTTTAAATCAAAGGCACTGCTGAGAAAATTAATTTGAAAGACCCAAGGCTGCCACACCCAGACATTATGCCAATGGTGCAGACATCTTATAATTGAGTCAATTTTTTGTCGTCAAGCTATTTTTCTCAGAAAAGAAAACACAGCTCCAGGCATGATTTGAACCTGCAACAGAGCTTGGAGTTTTTTTCAAGAAACATCATTGGCTTGATCCTAACAAATATAGGTGGACATAATGTTTATGAATGCTGAAAGTGCAATGTTAATAATTATGCCACCTATTTCAACAATAGTTTTTGTCACTTTTTGTCCAATAGATTTTTTGTTGGCAATCTAAATAACAATCATCCAAAACAAATTTTGTCATCTTACGCCCACCTATTATCGTCTCTAATAAAGTGCTTATTACCCTTCTGACAATATTCACAGTATGATTCTACATGGGGAAAGATTAATCTGGGGAAAAAATATAGTTTGAGTGTGGCTTCTTCAAGTTATAAAGGTTTTTCTATGTCATATGCTAATGCTGTGATGTATGAGGAGTAATCATTTATAATTTTAGATTTTATAGAAATTATGGCAAGTTAGTTTTCGCCTAGAAGACGGTGTTTCAAATAATGACCATAAATGCCTGCTCATACGTCACAGAATAGACCCGTTTCGAATTCCAAATTACCGCTGTGTTTCTTGATTACAGACTCATTT